GTCATGTTTATTAGGGGTTCTATGAGCTTCCTGTACTAGGATGTCTCTGACCTTCTCCAAACCTGCGAAATTTTCTGCTAGTATCTCACTAAAAGGCCTTCTAATCCTTTCTCCCTCTCCATGCCTTCAGGAACTCCTAGAACCCGAATGTTGGTTTTATAAATAGTATCCTGTAGATTCCCCACAATATTTTTTAGATTTCTAATTTCCTCTTCTTTTCTTTGGTTTGATTGTATATTTTCCTGTGCTCTGTCTTGTAAGTCTGATATTCTCTCTTCCGCTTCACCCATTCTGTTTTTAAGGCTCTCTAATATGTTCGTCATTTGATCTATTGAATTCTTCATTTCATTATGATTTCTCATCACTATCACTGTTTCATGTTCTACTAGTTTCATTTCATTTTGATTCCTGCTTAATATTTCATTTTCGCAAGAAAGATTTTCTATCTTGTCCATTAAGGATTTCTGTAGTTTGAGAATTTGTTTTTGAGAACTTAATGTTCTTATCAATATTTTGAGATCTGCTTCTTGCATTTCTTCTATCTCATCATCTTCATAATCTTGAACTAGGGTGTCTTTTTCATTTGGGGGCGTCATAGTGTCTTCCTTGTTCATATTACCTCAGTTTTTCGTTTGTTGTTTGGCACATTGGAGATATTCTTTTGTTTCTTCACTGTGGTGTTTTTTCTTGTTATACTATGACTCTAGAGTAAGTGGACTGTCTGTTTTTGATGGAGCCTTAGAGGCTTGAGATGGGTGTGGCCAGAGAGCTCTGTTTGGTTCCTCAGGGTTAAGGGTATGTCAAAGGTGACACTCCCAGGTGAGGCGTGGTAAATCTCTCTCTCTTTGTTTCTTTTTTTGATTCAAAAGGGAAGTAATTCTGCACAGCTGATCAGAATTGGAGGTAGTTAGCAGGCAAGTGATATACCCACAGTAGCCAGAGATCAGAAGCTCTTTCCCAAGGACCACACAGGGAATCTTTCTGCCCTCAGTGAGGGCTCAAAATCTCCTGCAATCTCCCACTGGGTTGCCAAGGTTACCGAATTTTAGCGTCTCTCGAGAGTACTCATGTGAATTCCGTGAGTTCTCTCCCCCACCTTCTCTTTTTTCACAGTCTCAGTTCAGTAGCACCACACATTCACTAAGTCCTAATCTGTGAATTCATTCCCCCCACCCCCAATGTCAGGTTTTTCTACTAGGCTCAGGTACGGTGCAGACCTGAGGTTGCCCTGCTTATGACGTATGTCCAATATGGTGCCTGCTCTTTGTCTTGCTCGCCTTTGAGAGGTGAGTGGAGAGAGAGAAACTCGTGTCCGTACCCGTCACTTTCTCTCTCTCTCTCTCTCTCTCTTCTAGTTAGCCTGGTGAACTTTTCCCCACTGGGTCATTCCCTTTAGTCTCCTCTTTCTGTTTGCCTGCCGGTGTCTCGGGCTATTGAGTTTCGGCTCACCTCGTGTTCCAGCGCTGGTGTGTTGAGTCTGCCACTGGTGTCCCAAACTGTGGGCTCCCATGCTCTCCACGCAGGTCTACTGTGAATCACTCATTCCAGAAGAGTTTCTTCTGCTGTTTCTTCCCCTACTCTTCCTTGAACCTGCAGTATCTCCACTTTTATTAAACTGTCTCTCCCCGGACTATCAGTGTGCTCCCTTCCTATTCTGCCATCTTGCCCCTATTTTATTTTTATTGCCTGTGTATCTGGTCTTAATCTAAGAAGTCTGTGCCTATGCTAATGTTTTACAGAATTTCTTTGATATTTTCTTCTAGTAATTTGATAGCATAAGATTGATCATAGATTTAGATCCTTGACCCATTTTGAATTCACTTTTGTATAAGATTTAAGATAAGGGTCTTGCTTCATACTTCTGCATGTGTAGATCTAATTTTGCCAGCATGCTTTTTAAAAAAGGTCGTCTGTTCTCCAAGGACTGATTTTAGCTCATTTATCAAAAATGAGTTTGTTGTTTCACATGGACTAATTTCTGTGATTTCTATTCTGTCCTGTTAGTCTACATGTCTATTTTTGTGCCCATACCAGCCTGTTTTGATCATAACTGCCCTGTAGTATGTCTACCTCTGGCTTTGTTTTTGTTATTTTACGTTGCTTTAGCTGATGGACCAAGAACATAAGGTTCAGCCATTGTAGGTTCTTGCCAGAAAGCAGATAAAAGTCAATTTTATCCCTTATCTCTGCTTTCTTTCCAGAGTCCAGTTCAGTCTCACATTCCACCTGCTACATTCTTTTTCAGGGCTGAATGCCTGCAGGCTACCTGAGAAACCTGTATGGAGAATCTCATCTCCCTCTATTGCCCCCACCCCACCTTCAGACACTTAGCCCACTCTAAGATCTATAAGATCGGTCCACTGAGGACTGTACCCTCTGCCATGTGTTTGGTTGTGTGCATGCCAGCAGTTGGTCACCCAGCTCTGTGAATTTATTTTTCTTGAATGCATTCATTCCGGTTTGAATTCATATCCTACCTCCTCTGTTTTCTGTGTCCCTTTTGCTTACATTATATTCAGGTTTCTTGTATTTCAATATGAATTTTAGCATCACTTTCTAGATCTGAGAGGAATGTCACTGATATTTTGATTGTTATTTCATTGATTCTATAAATTGCTTTCAGTAGTATGAAAATTTTGATGATATTAGTTCCTCCAATCCATGAACACAGAGAATTTTTTTTCATTATTTTATGTCTTTTTCTGTTTCTTTCTTTAATGTTTTGTAATTTTCATTGTACATATCTTTTACCTCCTGGGTTAAATTTATTCCGAAGTATTTAAAAAATTTTGTAGCTATTGTGATTGGGATTGATCTTAAAAGCCATGGCATTGTTGGTGTATACAGATTCTATTCATTTCTGTGTGTTGATTTTATACCATGCAACGTTACCCAACTCTCTTATGAGTTTCAGTAGACTATTAATGGAGTTTTGTTTTGTTCTGTTTTGTTTTGCCTACATATAGGATACTGCCATCTGCAAATGAATAATTTGACTTACTCCTGTCCAATTTGTACACATTTGATTTCTTTTTTTGGCTAATAGCTCTGGTTAAAATGTTCAAAATTATATGTAATAGGAATAATGAAAGCAGGCATCCTTGTCTGGTCCCCATCTTACTGGATGGGCTTACAGCATTTCCCCATTCAATATGATGCTGGCTGTGGGTTTGTCATGTATTGCCTAGATTATGTTGAGGAATATTCCTCTATACCCGATTTGCCTAAGGTTTTTATTTTGAAAAGATAGGATGTTGTCTTTTATTGAATTCTTTGTCACTATCTGTTGAGAAAAATACATAATTTGTATTCTTCAATTTGTTAATGAGATTTTATCATATTTATTTATTGGGGTGTGTGTGTGTTGAACCATCCCTACATACCAGGGATAAATCTCACTTGATCCCTGTGAGTGAGCTTTCTGATGTGCTGTTTGAGTTGATTAGATAGTATTTTCTTGAGAATTTCTGCAATTAAGTTCATCAGTGATATTGATCTACAGTTCTGTTTCTTTTTGTATCTTTTTCTGGCTTTGGAATAAAGCTGATGCTGGCCTAAGAGAAACAGTTTGAGAGGTTTCCCTCCCTTACAATTGTTTTCAATATTTTGTGAATTGTAATTAATTTTTTAAAAGTTCAGTAGAATTCAGCAGTGAAGCCATCTAGCCCCAGACTTTTCTTTTTTGGGATTGTATTTATAATGGATTCAATCTCCATATCGGTTATTGGTTGATTTAGGTGTTCTATGTCTTCATGACTCTATTTTTGTAGACTGTATGCATGCAGATATCTATTCATACCAATTTGTTGACTATAGAGCTTTTTGTAGTAATTCCCAATGAATCATTTTATTCCTGTGCTATCTTTTGTAACATCTCCTTAATCATATCTAATTTTATTAATTTGGGTTTATTTTTTGATTAGTTAGGCCATGGTACATTTTGTTTATGTTTTCATGAAAAACAGCTCTTCATTTCACTGATCTTTTACACTTTTTTCATTTTTATTTATTTTTTCTCTAATTTTAGTTATTACTTTAAAAGGCAGTAACATGACTATCATTTTACAGAATGCAGGTATTACATTATTTTACTGGATAATAAAAAGATACCCTACATATTCTTGGAGGGAGCTACCCTCTCTATATTTCAAGGCTATGTGTTACATAATCTTCTGGGAAAAGTAGGTTGGAATCAGTGCCTCTGTTTATCAATTTTCCAGAATGCTTCTAAAGCATGGAGATAGCCACCATGTCAACAGGTTAAATGAACATGAATCTGCAGCATGTGTTCTCTGATTTAGCTGAACTCATCCATGTAAATAACCCCAGAGAAATGGGTTCTGATGTGTCAGACTTGTCCTAAGTTCTTGATACAAGGATCGTCACATACCCTCAGGATTACATCAGCATGTGGAAGAAGGAAGAGCCAAGAAGAAATGAAAGATGTTCTAGTCTTCACTGAACACTATCGGGAGTATGTTCTTGTCCTAAACTTCTTATTACCAGGTGCCAAAAAAGGAAAATTAAGGATGAATGTTTGACACAGAGATTATGATACTACGATACTACTTGAAATACCAACGTCCCTTATCAGAATGCTTGGGTTCGAGACCTGACTTCACTGGATTCTAGCTTCCTGCTAATGTGTAACCTGATAGGCAGCAAGAGCAAGTGAGTTGCTGCCACTCAAATGAGAGAACTGGATTGAGTTCCAAGCTCTTGATTTGTCCTGGCCTGATCCCAAGAGTTGTGGACATATGGGTATGAATCGCTGCGTGGGACATCTCTCTCTCTCTCTCTCTCTCCCTCTCTCTTTCTGTCACTACCTTTCTCTCTCTCCTCTCTTTCTATCTCTACCTCCACCTCTAACTCTATTTCTATCATCTCTCTGACTTCAAATACATGAAAAGATAAACAGCAATTGAGGAGTTCTTGGGAAAACTGACATCATGCAAGTGTGCAGCTGAATTCTGGAGTTGAGCAATTTTGAATATGCCCACCTGAGTACACACAGACCTTGTGAACTAAATGGCAGTTATATTGCTCTAAAACAATTCACTAGCCTCTCCAAGAGTTTTCTGCAAAAATTCCCCTTGATTCCTGAAACTCAATTCAAACTTTTTTACATGATATTTAATCAGCAATCACAATTACTGAAACCAGGAAATGTGATTAACCACCACTCCCCTTGTAGTTTGGGCTAAAAAATCAGACACTATTTTCTGAAACCTTGGGCACCTTTTCAAGGCTGATTGGATTCTATGTCTCAAGGATTGCAGCCTAAGTAAATGCAATTATTCTTTGTTCTTAACAAGATGCTGGTAAACATCTCATGGAATTTAAGCTAATCTGCTTATATTTTTTAAAATTTTATTTATCTTATACAAGTTTCATGTCCTTCATATATCCAGGTTTAGGAACATAATGACACTTTTCCTATTCTCCTCCCTCCCACCCACGCTGCAACTCTTCCTCCTCCTACCTCTCACATTCCTACTTTTAATTTTTACAAAGATCTAGTCCCAGCTTACTTAAAGATAGGTTAGTTAACCCTATAAAGAGTTCATCAAATTGTATGAAGAGAAAAATAAATGCTTTTCCTCAACAGAAAACACAAGGTCTGTAGAACATCCTCAAATCTCAAAATGTCTACTTGACTCTAGTACAGGTACTCTATTAGTTACTTCGCATCAGGGAAATCATATATCTGTCTTTTTGGTAACTGGCATTGACCCAACCCTATATTAATAAAAACAACTATCAAAGCTAACAAGTTTCTCTTTACAATCTTTCCCCCTTTGCATATTGTACATATCCAGAAACATTCCAAATCTACTAAAACATTGTGTCATCATTCAAGATCATGAGATACAGTGAATGTAAGGGCTGATCCTAGTCTTCTGTGATAAGAAAAAAAAAACTACAAATAATGCAGAACATCAGGGAAGTCACAAAGTGCCTCTGTTGTCTCTTTGAGCATCTGGAGGGTACATTAAGCCCCAATTTCTTCACCCAAGAATACACTCCATGAATCAAGGGTGATCGATGTGGGTTTACTTAAAATTCCATCAGGTTGTGAATTTCATGTAATACCATAGTTAAAACCTCTCAAGAATCCTCAGAAACAGCCCTGCTATTTCCCTCAAATTCCTCGCAGGGCAAAAATAGTGCTTTGTCTCCCACCTACCCATATTTATATCCCATATCTTTTTCCTACACCTCCTGTCATGCAGCTTATAACATCAGTCCCCTAGTCTTGACCACCAGTTTTTAGCTTAGATTCGTTTCAGGTGTTCACTTGTTCCTGTCACCTCCTGCAAGATCTCTTTATTCCTGTTACTTAAATTGGTATGTTGTTGAATAGAAGTGTTAAAATGGACATTATTTGTTATTGAACAACCGGAAATACCTATTCAGTTTTTGACATCAACAATTATGGCGGTAGTGGGTTTTATAATTATGGACTTAATTCAGTTGAGAAAGACTATTTTTCTTTCTCATTTGTTTCAAGTTTTGAACACGAATGAATGTTGAAGTTTTTCAAATGCTTTTTCTGCTTGAATTGAGATATTCTGGAGGTTTTTCCTTCATCTTACTAACGTGTCATAATGATTGACTGATGTTTGTGTGCTGGATAACCCTTATATTACAGGAATGAATCCTATTAGGTCATGATTTATATTCTGTATTATGCCACTGAATTGGCTTGCAGATATTTAGTAGGGAATATATGCATTTGTAGTGAGTAGTATACTTACCTGTATTTTTTCTTTGATCATGTAATGTTGGCTTCGTAGGATGCCTTAGGAATTGTTTCTTCCTTTGCAATTTTGGGGGAGATTTTGAAAAGAATTGATATTAACTCTCCTCTGAATTTCTGGTAGAATTCACTAGTGAAGACTCTGGTTATGGTTTTTCTTTTTTTGGTTTGAGGGTGGGGGGGTTGTGCTTTGATTTAATATCCTTGCCAGAAAAAGAGGTCTTTTCATGTTTTCTATTTCTTCATTTTCAGACTTCAATATTGTATGTTTCTAGAAATTTGATTATTTACTCTGGATTATTTAATTGCTGTCATATAATTGTTTATGATGCTCTTTTTTCTATGTATACATTGATCTACTACTTGTTCTAACAATTGCTATAAATTGAATGTTGATATTTCTAGCTAGTATTGTAGTGATCCCTTTTTCTTCTTGCAGTTCTCTCAAGACTTCATAAATACTTCATAAATTTTGGAGCTATGGTATTTGTTACATCTGTGTTTTTACTTAGCTACACGTATCTCAATGGATTGACAAATTTCTCAACATTTAAGGCTTTTATTTCTTGTCACAGTTTTTAAAATAAATTATATTTACTTTGACATTAGTACACCTAACACAGTTCTCTTTTGATTACTAGTTGCATGAACTATCTTTCCATTTCAGGTACAAACTATTGTGGCCTTAGATCTAAAGTGAACCTCTTAAACACCAAGTAGTTGAATCCTGTTGCTGTCTATTCACTCTGTTGTTTTATCTTCCGTTTGATTTATAAGTTCAAGTCACTTACAATTCAAGTAACTACTGATAGTATTAAAGTTGACATTTATTTTTAAACTAGAAAAAAGTCATGAACATAGAGCTAATATTTGTGGCAATTCAGCAAGCCAATATTTTTTTGCTGTTGTTTTGCTTTGTTTTGTTTTCTTTTTGACTTTCTGGACCCCAAAAGCCAAGCAAGATCCCTGGATTTCCTGAAAATCGTAATTGAAGAATCTGACGCTGAGCTCTGGCTCATCAATTCACTATGAAAACTTTTCTTTGATATTCAGGATATGATTATTGAAAGACCAATTATCAATATTTCCAAACATAGATGTGCTCAACTCCATACTCATCACATTTTCCTCAGTCTAAAAATAAATATGAATTTATAAAATTTATCCTCTTAAATGTTTTAAATAGAAAATAAGGCAAACTTACAAATATGTGTGCAAGACACAAAATAGCCTTCTCTTCAACTTCCCCTGTGTCTAGTTCCTAGTCAACTAACCAAGTTGGCTCACGTTCACTTCCCTAACCAAATTCAATATGGATACACTTGAAAAACATCACATTTAGTGAAATAAGTCAACCCAAAATACAAATACCATATGTTCTCCCTGATCTGTGTCCTAAAAGGCAATCTATAACAGAGAAATTGACACGTTGCAATCTGGTGATTTAATAGGCCTTGTCTTGACTGTTCAGGACCAGTATTTTTTTTTTTCCTTCATTCTATTTGTTGAACTTTTTACTAGGCATAGGATTAATCTTAAGAGCATAGAGTTAACCGAAATAAGCCTTTGTAAAAAATAAAAAGTGGTTGGCTGGGGCTATGGCACAATGGCTTAAAGACCCAGCCTGCAGAACAGGCATCCCACATGGGTACCAGCTCAAGTTTCAACTGTACACTTATGATCCGGCTCCTTGGTAATGTGCCTGGGAATGCAAGAGGATGGCCTAAATTCTCAGGCCCCTGCACACATATGAAGATGTAGAAGAAGCTCCTGGCTCCTGGCTTCAAATCAGCTCAGCTCCATTCCTTGTAGCCATTTGAGGGGTGAACCAACAGATGAAAGACCACTCTCTCTATATATCTACCTCTCTCTGTAACTCTGTCTTACAAATAAATCTTTAAAAAAAAGTGGAATAGCAGAGGGGGGAGGAATAAGGATGGGAGTGAGGGTGAGAGGGGTTGGTAGGGTAGAATGTATAACTATGCTTCTAAATCTGTATATTTGAAGTACATGAAATTTGCATACCTTAAATAAAAGTTTTCAAAAAGTAGTTTCAAAAAAAAGAGAATATCTGTTTTCCCAGTTTCTGCACCTCTTATGCTTGAGCTTCTCACAGGGACCCCTGGGTTCTTGGTTATTCTTGTAGTATTGCCTTACCTTCCAGGGTCTATGCAGTGAGTTTTGTTTTTCCTTGAAGCACTGGAGAAAAACTGACTGGAAAATGCCTACTAGTGGTTACTTCCCTATAGGCCAACAATTCTGCCTCTTTCTACTTCAGTAAGGTCAATGGAATGGCTTGAAACTCCCACCAATGGTTTTCAAACTTCCAGGAAAAACAGTTTGGGGAATAAGGCAGTCAAAGGAAAGAAATCATGTAAGTCGGAATCTTTAAAGAAGTCAACATTAACTATTTTATGAAAGTGACAAAAATTTACTGCACATGCTTCCTCTACTGTGGATTTAACTCTAGCTTCTTGTGAGGTGTTTAGCATCATGGATTATCCAGAAGAGAGGTCTCTAATCATCAGCGTGTGAGATGTCTGCCATATCACAAGATGTGTGCAGGAGCTTCTGGTAGAAGCCATGATGAAGATCTCCATGCTAATATTCATCAGAGAATGGGTAATTAGACTAAAATGAGAAAAAATGCATAATCTGAATTTAATACCTTTACATACATGGTAATTACTAGTGATTTTTCTGTAACTGGCATTAGGGAGATTAATCATTGTATATTCTTACTGGTTAACAATTCTGCCTTTCTTACTCTCATGATGACTACCTTATAATAAATACTTTTACAAGTATAACCAAATTATTCAAATTAAACTTTTTCCTGGAATTTAACAAACAACACAGAGTCAAAATTCAAACATACTTCTCTCCCTAAGCCAGATATGCCAATAAAGCCAAGTGATATCAAGTCTTAACATTTGCAAATTCAAATTGATGCTAGAAAATTCTCTTCAATATTAAGAACGCATTAATTTTACTGACTGTCTGTCTTATATAAAATACCGTGTTAGATTCAGAAATGGAAAGAATGTAACTTATAAGAGAGAGTTTCATGCCTATGGAGTTTACAGTATGTTTTTGATATGTACATATTTGATAGCAACAACATATGTAGAGTAACAAATATGACCAATAAATACTACCAGTTAAAGAGGTAGTAGTATTACAAATGGTTATCTCTCTTTGTTTATGTTATGTCTCTATTATTCTCAATTTTTCTCTATAATAGTGAGACTTCCGGCCTTGATGACCAAATATCCACAAATTTTCAGTACAATCGATTTTACACCACGCTAATGTCATTTCATAAATCATCCCTTTTTTCTATTATAAATCAAAATTACCACAGACAGAAAGAATACATATTAGAGCTAACCGTCAATAACGAAATATTCCCTTCCTCATATTCTATCATGTTCAATCTTGAAGAGTAAGTAATAAATTTTTTGACTACAAAATCTTTCTA